TTACAGATTTCAACCTGTAAAATGTAAGATGATTTAAAAAAATATGACATTTTGAATAGAGCAGCTGCACTGTTATTATTACTGGAACTAGTTTCACTACTAGAAAGAATAAGCGGCAATGTGCAAGGGAAGAATGTAGTTTCAGAGTAGCTTTAATCAGTCTGGTCATACTGAGGCCAAAAACAATGCCAGTTTTGTCCTGCAACCTTCAATGCTCAACACAGCACTCACCTAGCAACTACACAGCATGAGCTGCTGCAGTTCACGGCAACTAACAAAAGACCAACTTCTGTCAATGCTCATTTTCATTCAGGTTGGCAAAACAACCAGACTCACCCTGTGGCCACAGAGCAACTTTTGGACCCCGTGGAAAGTGAAGGAACAGAGGGTGAAGGGCAGGAGGGCCCCTCGCAGCAACAGCCTGGTGAGATCTAGTTAAGCAGAGCATGAGATGCCAAGGATAACTGATACGTGGTGACTGAGTCTTTCCAGTTCTGTGATGAGAGACATTTCAGCACATCTCTCCGTCTCAATCCCTCACACCATGACAGCAGCTGCTTTTTCCCCACAGGTGCAGCACCAATTTACAGGCCTTTAAACTGGAAGGATTTGGGAAGAAATTTAGCATCAGCTTAACATCCCTTGTCTTTCAGCTGGAACCATCCTGCCAGGAGAGCAGGCTACAAACAAGTAAAAAAAAAAGTTTCCCAAAAATGGCCCTTCTGACTTGAAGATTAAGCCGTTCTTTGAAACAGCTCATGGTAGTATTGCTACTTAATTCCATCTGATGACCTGTGATAGTTTCAAGACAACTTGTTTGACAACAAGTTGATTAACAAACAAGAGGGCAAATATTTTTGTCCTTCATGCTTTTAAGTTTAAAAATTGTATTCCAAGAGCAAAACACAAAGCATACACCGTTACATAAAACACCCACACTCCAAACCAGATATTCCTGACAACAAACCAATCAACACAGGAGCTATGGCTTCAGCCACCATTCTCACATGTCTAGCAATTCTCGGGGCAGCTGGAAACGTCAAACAAAAAGAAAGTATTGAAAGTAGAGTAAGATAATGCCTTGGAAACGACTGTGAAAGAAACAGCTCCGATCTGTAAAGTAGCAAAGGCTAACACCTACTTTCAGGTCACCTCTTGTGTCCCCCAGACAGTCTTTGTCCAGCTTAACCTATTTACAGTTATAATCTAATATCAGAACCAAGGAATACTTGCTGAATCTTTTACCTTACATCTCTTGCTCATTGCAAGGCTATAAAATGAGGGTAGGGAAGGTAGACATTATATTTACAAACAGAAAGCTAATTACTAATACCCAAGACAAATACATCCTCCCAAGGACCACTGCAACTCTCCCTTCCAACATCCATGGATGCTGACCAACTTTGCTGGCAACAAACCATGTACTTAAACATGAGGGTAGAGAGTGTTGCAAAGCAACACAGATGGGGGAACTTTCATTTTTAAGTGAGGAGGGGAAAAAAGTTAACAGATTACAGTAGACAGTCTGCTCTAACAGATTGCAAGTACAAAATGGCCATCTACTTTGTATTTAGGATGCTTCACATCTTTGCTTGGCACAAGAGGATGGTCTGATCTCATCCATACCAGGCTGTGACTGACAAGTACTCAGCGTGTTTACTATTAAATACTGTCTCAGCAACTGATGTGTACACAATTGCTCAGACCTTACAAATGAGAAGAATGAGCAATCAAAGCAGGCTAAAAGTCAAGCACAAGCTCTATTTGAAGTTAACAAGATGGGCAGCCACAAATTTCAAAGCTATTCCCACCATTAGGGGCTAAGAACTTGATAAGATGTACCACTCCGAGGAGTTTTCTGAGACTCTGAAAGAGATTACCATTTTCTTGTTGGTTTTGTAAGGGAAAAAATAAAAAACCCTGCAATAAACATTCCAAAAACTGTTGAAATAGCCAGTGTGTTTTAGAAGTAATGACGACCTGTACCTACTACAGCAGCAACCCACTGACACAAAACTTGAAAATTAAAAGATGTTTTAATTATGTGCTTCCAGTCTTCTGCTTCTTGACATGAAGAAGACATCCAATTAGTACAAGGTATTTCACAAGTTGAGGTACTTAAGTATAGAAGAATTTATAGAGCAAAGGGAAACGATTTCATTAAAACAAAGATCAGTAGGTGGAACAGTGAATTTGAACCACTCCCTGTTTCCTGTGCATGAGTCCTCAAGACAATTCATATGCAATTAAGAATTCTAATTCTCTACTAGCTCCATTCCCTAGATCCTTCAAGCTTTAACCAAACTCTTTTAGTGAAGTTGATGAATTCTAAATTGTAAAGTCTCAAACTCCATCAGAGGGCAGTTTGCTCGGGACATACGTGTCAGGACAAGTCCCCATGTCAGAAGTCAGCAAAGGGCACTGCCACACACCTACAAATTACTATTTTGCTGCTCTTTTGGCCCTGAAAAATAATAGGTCAGTCAGAGGAGGAGAACTGCCACAGCCAGAACAACTGCTGCTCCTTCCCATCACCAGTCAAGACCACAAGTACTCCTGATGGCTGCCTGCACACAACACACGGACAGAGTGATACCCACAGCTCTCACAGTCACCACAGCAGAACTGAAATGCTACAGAAACAAGAGAGAACCCCAAGCCTCCACAGCTACACAGTGGTTACAAATACTTCCATGTTTCTTATGGCATTTGAGGTAAAGGCAGTACACACCTTCCAAACTCCTAACACACAAGTCAGAGAAACAAAGTCACTGGAACAGGTATGTCTGGAAAGGGACCAGGAAGGGGAACAGATCAAAGAGGAAGATGGCATAATGGATACTGAGGAAAGAGGACAAGGAGGACAGCCTCAACACCACTGAATTAAGACCTCTAATGTCACACTACATCTACTTTCATGCTATGTCTCACCTTCCGTTTCCACATGAATTTTGCTTTATTAAGCAAAGTTAAACAATAGTCTCAAAGCTGTCCAAGTTCTCATTGAACACTTTCCCCTTCCTGAGGAGTTGAACACTGACAAACTATTTAAGTTCCACAGCTAGGAAACAAGGGCACAAGAAGGTGGAAAGGATGTATAAATAATATTAAGGACTCCATTTTTAGCAAAAATAATTAGGGCACACAAGTGAGTGACCAGTGGCAACCAGGAAACCAAACTACATGGAACTGCACAGTGCATTATCCTTTATTGCCTTTTGCAATAAATCCGTGGAGAGCAGTAGCTGTTCTCTTCATTCCTTGTGCTATTGGTTCGGCTCATAGAGGACTTAAGCCTCAAAATGCAAATACAACCCTTAAAAATCCACTTCATGGGGAAAAAATAGCCATCTCCACAAGAATCTGGTCATCAGAAACTGAGGTGCTCAGCATCGCTGCTATTTCCCTTTTACCCCACACAGTTTAAGTTGTTAAAATAAGAATTTTCTGGTCGGTGCTCTTAGGTAAGGAGGCAGAAACAGGTTCAGCAACTCTATCTCATGTACAGAAAGTAAGCTTATGTCTCTTGCCTCTGGCGCTGTGTATTGCCCATGGGAAGACCACACGGACAAAGTGCACCAACAGCAGTTCTTCCCACAGCCTCTCTTCCAAACCAGTGTCGTCCTCTGCCTACTCGGGAACACGATGCGCTACTTTGCAAGTTTCAATTATGTGACAAATCCCAAGGGGGTGGCAGCGAGAGGGAGGACTGCTACTTATCTAGGTGAGTGGGCTGCAGCAGCAAAGCCTACCTGGTGGTTTGAGAGGGCTTCCTGACCAAGTTTTCAGATGAAATTACACCAGACAGTTTAAGAAGGAATGTTTGTCACCAACGAAACATGGAAATCCTATTACACCCTGCTCTGGGTCGTACGCTCCTGCCTCATACTTCTACACTAATTCGGATGCTTGCTGGACTGCTTTGTGCGCAGGTTCACTTCATTTGCCTGGCAAAAACTCTCACGCAGCAAATCTCAGCTCGAGTGACCCAAAAAGCCCTGGGAGCCCCAGTGCTACTCAGCAAGAAGCACAAGGAAGACTGCTGCCCAAATCCTACTCAACTTTTATGAGGGAACATTATTCAAATGAGCACAATAAGCCATCAGTTTCACGAAGGAACAGCACAACGCCCGTGAAAAATACCAGAGGCTGTACCGCAGTTTACTCTTTCTCAAACAGAACTTACACAACGTGTAACATGATACCTCCCACCTGAGAAAGCTTGCCTCTTCGGCTGCCAAAAACTCGACTTTAGGAAGCCGAGAACACAACTCTGCCAGTCTACCTGTTCATCAGCTGATGGCCTGCACTGACCACAGACCCCGTCCCGCACTCGCCGCCCTTCTCGCAGCCCTCTCAGCTCTGCCTTGAGTTAGAAATGAACCGGATTTTATAGATTATGATCAGCCATAAGTTAAAAAGGTTTATAGGTTACTTTACATCAATTTACAAGCAAGGCGTGTGACAGGCACAAGCAGCCTGAGCTTGCCGGCTCTGCAGCCCCAGGAAACTCGCACTTAGAGCAGAAAACACACGGAACGACCAGGAGGGACAAGCTGTGCTCGCCAGGAACCCGGTGCAGTTTTGCGAGAGTTTCTGGGCGCACAAGGACTCTCGGAGGCACAGAACGCTCAGGGAGCGCGCAGGGTGCTCGGCTGCAGAGGACCGCGGGAAGGAAGAAAGGAGCGCCGCCTCCCCCGGGATCACCCCCTGCCGCGGGAGATGAGCCGCCCCCCGCTGCCCCAGCCCGGCACTCACACGACCGCCCGGGAGATCATCCAGGACACCATCGCGGCGGCGAAGGCGGCGCGTCCCCTCAGCCGCCCGGGCCGCAATGGCCGCGGCCCCGCCCCGCCCGCGCCACCGGGGCTGTACGCATGCGCCGTGAGGCCGCGGGGCGGGGCCGCGCCCGCAGGGGCGGGAGGGGAGCGGGGCGTGAGGGGAGTCCGCCGAGTGTGAGGGGATGGAGGCGGGGTGAGGGTGCCCCGGGTGTTCGGCTCCAGTGAGAAGTGTCTGTGTGTGGGAGACGCTGACCCCTTGCCTGGGCTTTTGTCCTGTGCCCCCATGCGCTTACGCTGACTGTAGGACTCACCAAAACCTCCGTGTCGTCCCCTGAAGTCGCCTCAGTGTAGTGGGACAGGGTCGCTGGAGGGCTTAGGTGAAGGTGCTGTGTGTCACCCGGCTGGAGCCCTCCGTAAGGAGGAGCAGAGCGTGTGGCAGCGGCTCCCTGGGCTCCAGCACCCCCTGAATCACCCCGGGAAGGCGCTTGTTGACGAGCACTCGGTACAAAAGGCTATCCAGGGACACATCCTTGGGCGGCCACACAGACTGCTATGTGCAGGTACACCAAAGCTTCGGGTAAGCAGGAGGATACCTGTGGAAGGACTTAGTGCCTGTGCGTCCCGTTGCCTTTGTTCCTTCCCTACACACCTTGTTATCAGCTGCTGCCTAAGGCAGTACGGCAGCAGAGCCCACAGTGTGACCCACTCCAGGTATTCCTGCCGAGCTCATGGTCTGGCAGGTCAGGACATGCAGGAGAAGCTGACTGCTCCCTGATAGATTGCCTAATCCATTGCAACCCATCCCCGCGTACCAGCATTACACTTCCTGCAGAACTGTTTGCACACATAAAAGGACAATATTTTGCTGAAACTGACTCATCTTCTGTCAGGAGAGGAGGTTGTACCAAATTCTACCCATGCCATCGCTGGAAATATTCAACTCCACTGATTTCAGTACGAGTTACAGAGTGATACCCAAAGCGACAGATGTCGATGCCACTGAACATGCCACTCAGCAGCTACAGTAGAGAAAGAGAAGGTTACTGTTTCAATACTGCTCCTGCTTACTCTCACAGAAAGTGACATGCCAAAGTCAGCGTCAGAATCTGTAGCAGAAATTAGTTCTTTAACAGGTCTTTAAGTGGGAATAATGTGCAGTTTCCCTGCCTGCCATACAGTAGGAAGAAAGAGCTTATTCTTTGTGAACTACTCACTGCCTTATTCAGATGAGAGGTGTGAGGTGAGTGCAAGATGGTTTCTGTTCCACAGGCAAGCGCTAGAATTCCTCACCTTCACCAATGAGTAGAATCCAGCTACAGGTATCTGCACTCCCTGGCAGCCTTCAAACACACATGCAGTCAAAAGGCCAAAAGAAATGAAAGGAAGAGGGTGAATAAACAATCTTGGAAGATTTCAACAATGGCAATGCTTGAAAACTGTTGCTGTAGCTGTGTACTGTGAAAGTTGAAGCCTGGAATGGGAAAGTACCCATTATAAAAATTAACTATTTTTAACCATGTAGGAATTTGGGTCTTGCAAATAATGATATTGCCCATCTTGAGCGTCTCTTCAACTTCACCTTCATACGGGGTTACTGGTGCAGGAAGAAGTAGAGAGGAATTTGTTTGTGAGCAATTTAAAGTACACCACTCATCACAGTTTTGAAAGAGGCCTAACCTGAACGCATTCTTGCTTTCATTCAATGAAAGGAAAAATCTGAACCACTACTTCTATACTCTGAATAGCAAACCCCTCCAGTGACAGACTGTACAGAGCAAACTCACACAGAAAAGCATTTGTAATATAAATTACCTGGGAGAGATTACATTTTAGACTCCAGCTCTGTAAACTCCTGCTGCCTGCCTGACGCTGTGCTGAAGTTTGTAGCATTCCAGTCCCTCCAGAGCAAACTGCAAGATGAGAACTCTACTTTATAGCACATGAAATTAAGTACACAATACATTTCTTCACCACAAGCAATTGTGCGTTCGGTACTAGCTCAGAGAACCATTCCAGAAAAAGACTGATACTCTTTTTTTACTGTCTGAGATCATGTGTACAATAGTTCCATAGCTGCATATTTTATTTCATATGGAGTATGTTTAAAGGAAAACCACTCCTTATTTTGTAGCAAGACATTTATTTTCCTTGCGTTTGTTGCCATGGCAATACTGTCTCTGGTGGAAAGCTAAATTTACATTTAAAGAGGCATTTTTTTTAAGGGGTAAAGGCAGATGGCTCCTAAGAGTAATTTACCTTGCTAAGAAGATTAGACTTTATTTCATAGAATGTTTTGAGACTTAATTCCGTGCAACGAGCTGGGTGGTGTTTGCTGGGCCCCCAGCAGACAGGCACAGGGATGCCACGTGAACTTCCCTGTATTCCAGTTCACACATAATGATAATCCATACTCCTGTATGGCAGAAATAGAGAGAGCAACATGGCAATTAAATCCATGCCATGTACTTATTCAAACCTGGTGTGTCTTACTCATATGTCTGCCTATTTTTATGTAAGGAGGAGACTTCCAGGTATCTCATTATGGGATATTTTTGACACTCCTTCCAAAAGCCACTTGATATAGTTTAAAAGTTCCTGTAAATAGTTTTAACAGTGTTTGGAAAATCATTTGTAAAGGTCACGTAACTTTGATATAATACAATGTATATGTGCAAACACCAATGTTCAACTTGCATCTCTTTTACAGGGTAAACCAACATCTCAGTTACACTGTAGATGTGCAAATAGCAATTGAGCAACATTTAGGAAGACATGAGCTAGTTTCTGAGAGAGGGGTCCACCCTCCCTGTATTAGGAGGATATGTTCCCCCAAAGACAGCATCACATGTGTTAAAAATGCATATAGTTAATCACAGTGCTAGGCTTCTCTTAACTTTGCTGTTCTGTATTAATCTATTCCAGAGGAGTCTCAAGTAGAGAACAATTTGAAAAAATACAGAATTCTTTCAGTTACTGAATCATATCACATATTTGTGATTTTGGTACTAGAACACAGAACAGATGATGCCAGTTTACTTGTGGAAACAACAGAACACATAATGGGTGAGGATAACCATTTCTAAGCTGGTGTGATTATTAATTAACATGGCTGAAATGTATGGTTTATGCTACCTTCAAATATTTAACTCCTCATCTATCTTTCCTGTGAAGCAACAGCAAAGGTAGATTCTAATCTCCAGATAAACAGCCCAGTAGTCCTTCTGCCTTAATGAGATTTCATTTGAGAGAGAGAGAGAGAGAGTGTTGGGCAATGCTGTGAACGTTCTATGAAACCAAAGCAGCTGAAGCTTTTGCACAGAATTCTGGCCATGCCACTTCTTGCTCACATGTGTGTTCAGCCTCCCAGCACAGCATCTCCCCAGGGAACAAGGCAAAGCCAGTTGGTGTCTAACACAGCTGTGTCTTAAGCTATTTTTTTTTCCAACACACAGACAGACAGAATGCCAAGAGGCCGTGTGTTTATCTTTTTCATAAGTGTTATTGTGATATTTATTAACATTCCAAATTAGTCATGTGAAGCATCCAACTTAATGAAAAAACAAATAGTTTAAAATTGATAATTCTGCCTTTTTTTCCTCTCCATTTGGCATGTTTCACCACTGTTCTCACAGTTTTATTACACACAGTCTGACATTCATTTTAATGCTCTTGCTTCTATATAAATAAATAAAATCCTTGGGTTTTGAATAATTTCTTCCCCTCATGTTCACAGATACACCTGCAAATGCAAAACCTGAAGAGACAAACGGCAGCGTGATGTAAAATTTATGGTTTAGGGGTTTTCTCAAAGTCAGTTGCCTGACTTTCAGGGCCCTGACAGTTTCAGTTAGTTCTGAATTTTAAGCAATGTGGAATTTAGAATTCAAAAGGCATCTAGCTGGAGTTGTAGGATGACTGCACTACATATTAGAGGGAAATCTTTGCAATGAGATGAGTTTACAATGACAGGCCCATGGATTTTTTTTCCTTCTAAGACTAGAAAAGAATGAAGTCTAGCACTGTTAATTCTGTGAGTTGTAGGTCAGGAAAAGCAGATAAGGCTGGGACAAAACACCAAAAGCAACCCAGAACAGCCTTGTCAATATAAAGCCAGAGCATTTCCATCACTCCAGCACTAGCCTGTTTTGACTGCAGCAGGCAGTTCAGACAGAATCCAATTAATTTGATTAAAAGTACAAACACTAAAAGCGTACTCTGCTTCCTATTTTAAAGAAAATTCACCATGCTGTGAAAGGGCTTATCATGAAAAGGCAATCACTATTGATTTGTTTTATCAATTTTTAATGGCTTGCAATGGGTTAAGTGCCTCTAATTCCTTCTTACCAGAAACATAAGAGCACCCCTTAGGATTTTTTTCTTCTGAAGGGAAATGTGATCTAAAGAGGAAGGGGAAAGTTCAGAACAGCTCCATCTGAGACTTTCTCCTGGCAGCAGTCATATGTCCATCCTACCTTATTGCTTCCATTTGGAGTTGAAAGCATATGAAATGCAGCCCCACAAGGGCAAGCTGAGGCAACAGAGGAGCTGATTTCCAGCTCATTAGGAGTACCCAGGAGGCTCTCACAGAGCAGCTCTGCTGTCCCTGTCACTTCCCCATGTCTGCATTGATAAGCCACAGACAGAGAGGTCTGACCTGTACTGCACTGGACCTCTGCAGCTAAGTGCGACCACACCAGTGCAGCCCAGGTTGGTATAGGTTATTTTCCCCCTGTTCCCAAGTAGAACAGCATTAAAGCTGTTCAAAAGCTGCAAATTAATGTTTCAGTAAATATATGCCTCTCCCTCCTGGGAGCAAACCCATTTTAAATGATGGGCTACATGTACTCTGGTTATCTGATGATCCACTCTCTGGGACTTGCAATCTGTACACAGAGACCAAAGCCGTATTATTCCTTCCTGTCTGGGTAGTGTCATCTCAGCTATGTTCCATCACTACTTGTGATGCGTCACATTTAATAATTACAGCAATCTGTTAGAGATTTTTTTTAAAATGCACTTTCTGCTTTTGATGTTTCTGATCCCTATGGAAAGCTTATGCTATTTTATAGTCTGCTGACTAAGCTCATGTGCACACCAGCTGCATTTTATCAGGAAACAATGTTTGCCTTTTGAACTGGCTGATAGATTTTACTTAGAATGAAGGAGATATACATTCTTTGGCAACACTTAGAACCTTGTTCAGCACAATATCCAAATGCAGAAAGTTGCAGTCTCCAACCAGCTAAACAGTGCAGCAGCTCATGACCATCAGCTCAAAAGAGGTGGGAAAAACCATATCACTGAACTGGAAAGGACCCGGGTTTATCTACTGCACAACAAAACTAGGATCCCCCATGTCATTTGGACAGATGTCTTGTCCTACCTGTTCCTGAAGCCTTTTAACAGAGGTTACACACCTTTTCTTACCATGTTTACCAGCCCTTCATTATCCCACTGGGAAGCTTGTCCTTGTATCAAAGTTAAGCTGAGTCAAGGGCTTTTATTCAAGAGTTTTTATCCTGCCTCCACCAAGCTTGGAAGGAAAAGTGTTAATTTCCTTTGCAACAACTTCAAAAAAACAAAACCAGTACTTAAGCTATTAAATCATGCCTTGAATAAATAACCCCAATTCCTTACGGGACATTTTCTAGACCTTTCCATTCCTTTTATTACAGCCAACTCTATTGAAATGTAGAGGCCAAACCCACACACAGAGCCTGAGAGGAACCTCATCAGTACCAAGAGCTGAAGGACTACATCGTACATTATCCAGCAACTCCAGAGGTTGCCAGCAAAGGACACTGGGCTATGAGGTTTCCCTTTCTTTCTTTCCCACCCTCCCAGGGCAGAACACCACAATTAGCTGGGAGAGCTATCCCAGGGGGAACATTCCTGTGAGCTAGGATAGCAATTCCTATATACAACCCAAAGTAAGCCTTTAGCCAGCTGACCCCACTAGGCTTTCCTTGCTTCTTCTAAGACAAGTTTAGTCAAAACTGCTGACCAACAAATGCATTTAGGGAAGTTGTTTTATTAGACAGTGTCCTGATGTTGGTTCCCCCCTCCTTGGAGCAATGCTTTCTATGTCCTCATTACTGAGTTCCTTTTCTTCCAAGAACTGTCCTCTCTCTGCATTCTACCCCAAACTGAGGAAAAGATCTGTTTCCATATATTTTAAACCAGGAAGGGAATATAGTTTCATCCAACTTAAACACAAGACACAGAGATCATTAATTCATGTGTTGTGTCAGATAACCTTTGTTTTCTAGAAGCAGTGCTGCCAGCAAAGGATATTGATTTGATGGCACCTAAACATCGACTTTGTTTTTAATTTTCATCAGTAAATTGTTTTTCCCTATAGAAAGCTAAGCCCATGCTTTTAAACTTTGAATTTGCCTTTAGTTTCCAGTCATTGGTTCCTACTATGCTCTAAGTGATAAATTAAAGAGCTCTTTCACACTCATTATCTCCCCACAAGGACTTACTTGCTCGTAAGTCACCTTTCAATCTCTTGATAAATTAAACTGCAAGTTTCTTGAAATGTTTTTTCTAGTCCCTAAATACCTCATGGTAGATTTCTAGCTCTAACCCCAGATTTTTTTCAGCACTTTCATATACTGAACTCTGTAACCAGATTTCTCTATATGACTCTATATGAGTATTTAACTCTGTATGATTTGGAGTGGCATAAGTCTGCCACCTACTTTTTATTCTTATTAGTAGAGGATGCCAAACTGGAGTTAGAAAAACTTATTGGGTGCTCATATTCAGTTGTTTGTCCCCTTTGATCTGGGCATCTTCCTCACATGCTGCTTCTCAAAACCCTGGCTCCCAGTCTGAAGGCTTTGTTGATCTCTGTTCTTGGAGGGCTCACCTAATAAAGCAAAAATTACTTTCCTCTACAAGAGCCCAGGTTATTAAGCACTTCCACAAGGATGCTGTTTCCCCTTGCTGGAAGTTAAGAGAGTTAGCACAAGGTTTCTTCAGCCACTCAGGGAAGGGGGAGCTGGGCTGTACCCCAGAGGTATGGCTGGGTGGGAGCACCCCTGTGTCCTCGCTCCCGAAAGTACAACAGGGACTCAGCAAGAATGCTGTGCGGGCTGCCTGCCCTGCCTTCCTCCCCACTGCTGACAAACCCCCCAGGCTTGTCCTGGGGTCTGAAATCAAAGCTTGATGTTTCTATAATGTAATCACACAACCATCAGAGTGTGCAGCCAGATTAACAGCAAAAGGATCATCAGCCCTCACCCTGTATTCAACTTGCAGTTTGCAAATAGAGGAAACATTCATTTTCACCCTGCAAGAAACAAGTACTTGCTTCTTACTATACAGGGTGACTCAAATCAGCACTGAAGAAAACAAAGGTTATGTGTAAAAAAAAAAAGTTGGCTTGTTTAATATTGTCAAAACAAGCAGATACACACACAAAAGTGTCCCTCTTGATCCACAGGTACTAAACAGAAACTCTTCCTGCCTCAAAAAGGCCTTTCCCATCTTCTGTGGCAAGGAAGTCCCACTTTAATTCTTTCCTCTGTTATTTCAGCAGGACATTGCCAGCTAACAGGGTACATCTCTATGTAGTATCCTTGGAATATAAGTGCAAGCTGTTTAAGACATTAGCAATAATTGTCAAAGGCTTAAAGCCTCTGTGGGAAGCAGCAGGAGGCTTGCACGGGAATTTTGTGCACTGCTAGAAATCCCTACCAGGGTGTGTTACTCTGTGCTCTCTCAGAAGGCAGCCTGAAGATGTCTCATACTAGGAACTCTGCCACCTTTGCTTTCCAAAGAGCCTTTTAGTTCTTAGGAAAGTTGACTCTGAGAAAGGGAGTGCAGACAGTCTTTCAGCCTGTCTAGACATTCTGGATGCTGAATGTTTAATGGTCTGGTATAACATAGCTGGACCATAGCAGTGGAAAGCCATGAAGGCAGGAAAAACAATAGGCAGAACTTCTGGTTTAACAGGCATAAGTACACTGTGGCTGTAGCTGCTCTGAGCCTGTAGCCTGCAGGAAGCTAGGAAACAATCATCCACATTATGTTAAAGAAGCTCTGTCTAGACAAATCAGACCTTCTTCCCACAAGGTTGATCCTTTTTTGCATACCACTTGTCTCCCAGAAGTTGCTAGAAATAACAGTAAGCCATCAAAAATTGACACCAAAAGGTACTGTCCTGGAAGTCAAAAGGGGGAATTAGAAGCTGGTTTTAGTTTGCTTTCCCACAATATTCCTGTAAAAACACAGTTCTTCCACATAGTCTTTTTTTTCATCCTCTCTAACACATTTTGGAACACAATCCATCAATATATATGTAACCAGAAGTAACACAAAGGAAAAAAAAAAAAAAACAACAAACATGAAACCAGAGGGTAACCTAAAACTCAGGAACCTTAGCAGCTGATCTCTGGAGTACTTAGGACCACCAATTCCACAAATGATGGATGCTCAACAGTTAATTGAGCACACATTGTTGATCAGCTGAATTAAAAAACAAAGTCACCTTTATGGTTTTGAGTGGCTTTTAAAGTTTGTGGTTGACACACTGAGTTCTTAAGCACAAATCAAGCACCCAAGTTTCGCCATCCTTAGCATAGAACAAGTCTTGTAGCTTATGAAAATGCTGGAAAGAAGACATTATGATCTTCTCACTTTATTTCCCTGTAGACAAGTTGCATCACAACTGCAAGCACCACTAAAAATCTCATGTATCAATGAGTTCAGTCTTCAACTGGTGTAGCAGTTACCAAACATGTGCTTTCAGACCCCTTTTTCATCTAAGAAAGTTAACTTAAACAATATGAAACACAACTGTTAAATTGCTGGATCATAACTTCGAGGGCTCAAAGCAGTTTAAGACACAAGTTGACTTGAAGTCAACACAAGTCTCTGGGGTTGTGCTTATTACAACTATTTCCTTAAACTTCCATTTAATCCTCCTGTTGTCAGTAACTGAAAACAAGAAAGGCAGCAGATTTGCATTGCATTTGGACATGCAAGAGTCCCAAATTAGGGGTTTAATAGGGGCCATTTGAGGCCTCCTCCTCCTGTAATGGGAACATCCCTCCCTTCAGTGCTGTCACACAGGCTGGCTCACCACCTGCCTTGGACCTTGACCTTTCTGAATCATGTCAAACAAAGCTGTGTGCAGTCATCTGAAGTCTGCTGCAGGTAAATAACCACTGGGATTAAAGAGCCAG